CCAAAGTACTTGTATGCATGCATATAAGCATAACCAATGGACACAGATACGAAGGGGGTGAAGGCATGTGCTGGGGGGTGGAGGTGACCGGGAGGAAGTCATTGGGGGGGAAAAGAGACATATGTAATACTATATGTAATACTTTAAACAATAAAAAAATAATAAATAAAAAATTTTTTTAAATTAAAAACCTACTACACAAGCAACCTTTGGGGTGCTTCTGTTGCCCAAAGATACCCTGGCTGTCTCTGACTCTCACCACTCCATGGCACCTTTTCCAGCCACAACCATAAAGGTCTCCTGTGAGAGGGAGCAACCTCAAGGCTCTAGCAGCACCCCAGTCCTATGCAGACAGCCACACCAGGCTACTGGGTGAATTGCTCATGTGCTCATGCATCTGGCCATTGGAAGATCACAGTCACAGCTACAAGCAGACTCTCTTTCTTCTTCGCCTTTAGTCACTAACTCTCTGGCTTTGTCCTCCCTTCTCCTGCTGGCAAGAAAGTTATGAATGGAATGTATGAATTCCAGTCCATGTGTGCGCTCAAGAATAAAAATTAAATAAAAATTAAATAAATAAATAAAAGTAATAAATAAATAAATAAATAAATAAATAAATAAAATACAAATGAATCTCTGCACTAAAAAATGACATCATTAATCCATTGAGGGAAAATATTCATAATACATATCCTGTATCTAATAAAGAACTTATATCTGAAATATATGAACTCTGACAAATCAATAAGACAATGTCAATGATAATAATAATCAAACAACCTAGTGGAACATTGGCAAGAGACTTTCTCAGGCTCTTAACAAAACATGAATGATTCATAAATATATGAAAAGATGTTCAGCCTCAGTTGACATTAGGGAAATTCAATCAAAACCACAACCAAAATCCAGAACACGCCTAATAGAATGGCTAAAATAAAAAAAGACTGAAAATCTTTCATCTTGCTGAGGATGGGGATATGCATTTTCATACTCCTCTGGTAGGAATATAAATTGGTGCAGCTACTTTGGAAAACTGTTCAGCAGTATTGTTTAAAGCTGAACAAAAACCCACCCTGCAGTGACACTCCCAGATATGCTCCCACCAGAAGTGCAAACACGTGTGCACCGAAAGATGATGCAGGAACATTCAGGGCAGCATTACTTACAATAACTCTTAAACACGGAGTTACTTAAATCCATCAACAGGAAGCAGATGAAGATGTATTCACACAGTAATCAGAACTACAGGTACATACCACACTGGAGATGAATCTCACACATGGAATGCTGAGTGAAAAGCTTGACAGAGAAGAATATATACTTAGGATTCCATTTACTTCAGCTTTGTAAGTGGGCAAAACTGATCTGTGTTATTAAAAGTTAGGGAAGGAGGGGATTCCCAAGAAGGGGCTTCTGCAGTGTGAGTACAGTTTTATTTCATGACCAGGTAGGTGCCCATGTGGGTGTGATCACTGTGATAATTCTCTAGTTGTATCCTTATTACTTGTGCATTTTTATGGACATTTGTTGCACTTCAAAAGAAAGAACTTGAGCAATCTATATAGAAATTAGAGGCCCAGTGCACAAATTTGTGCACAGGTGGGGTCCCTTGTCCTGGCCTGCAGGATCAGGTCAAAACTGGCTCTCCAACATCCCCAAGGGGTCCCGGATTGCAAGAGGGCACAGGCCAGGTCAAGGGATGCCACTGGAGCATGGTCGGGGCCAGGGAGGGATGCGGGAGGGCTCCAGGGCATGTCCAGGCCCATATCACTCAGTCCCGATCAGCCAGACCCCAGCAGCAAGCTAACCTACCAGTCAGAGAGTCTGCTCCCTGGTGGTCAGTGCATGTCATAGCGACTGCTCAACCGGTCGACTGTCTGGCCCCTGGTGGTCAGTGCACATCATAGCAAGTGGTTGAGCGGCCTTAGCATATCACTAGCATATTACACTTTGATTGGTTGAATGACCGACCAGTCGACCAGACACTTAGCATATTAGGCTTTTATTATATAGGATGATTATTCAGAGGAGTGGACTCATTTCATCCACCTCATCCTCTATGGATAGTCATTTTTATTAGTTTCTGGTTGATCATTCCAGTAATCCTTCTCATAAACACAAGCATATTTATACTTATTCCTCTCACCACTTTCTTCCCTGAATTATTACATGCACTTCTCTGCTTCTCATTCCACTCTCTGTGCTGACCACTTGCCCATATTTGCATTACTAGGGAGACTTCTCCAGTGATGCTGGTCGGGCTAAGATTCATTTCTGTTAATAAATTATCTCTGACACTAGAGTGGCTCCCTTTCAGCACCACAATGGGACGCAGGTGGGAACAGGGAATGTGACTCCAGCCCATTGAGCACAGATCAAGGGGTTGCTCTCACCCCTTCAAGGTCTACAGCTGACTAATAGAGCACTCTGTCAGTCTTGTCATCCAGGCAAGAGCGCTAATGGGAAGCAGAGCTGTTCCACAGGAGAGGAAACTGTCCCATAGGAGAGGAAGCTTTTATATTAAGTGACCTCATCCTTCATTTAAAAATATGAAAGAAGCCCTAGCTGGTTTAGTTCAGTGGATAGAGTGTTGGCCTGTGGACTGAAGGGTCCTGGGTTCAATTCCAGTCAAGGGCACATACCTCGGTTGCAGTATCCTGGCCCTGGTAGGAGGCATGCAGGAGGCTACCAACTGATGTCTCTCTCTCACATCAATGTTTCTCTCTGTCTCTCCCTTTCTCTTCCACTCTCTCTAAAAATCAATAGAAAAAATATCCTTGGATGAAGATAAAAAAAAAGTGAAAGGAGCCCAGCTGGTGTTGCTCAGTGGTTGAGTATGAACCAGGAGGTCACAGTTAGATTCCTGGGGGCTTGATCTCCTTCTCCCTTTCTTTCTGAAATCAATAAAAATATATTTTAAAAATAAAATAAATATGTGAAAGGATCAACAGATTGGAGTGACTAAAGGAAGTGGAGGGTCAGTTTGTCTGAATGACATCTGAGAAGCACATGAAGGACTTGTAAGCAGGCTGGTCTTTACAAAGCAAACTTTTTCCTTCTCTTCCCTTCACCCCCTATGGGAAGCCATAAACATCTGAAGCCAGAACCCCACCACCCCCCAGAAGAGATTCTGTATGCACAGAATTTGTTTTAAAAATTATCATACAATAAAATTAGTAAAAAAAAACCAATAAATAAATAAATAAATAAATAAATAAATAAATAAGTAAAAATGTGAAAGGACAGCTAAGGATTATTAGACATTAAAAAAAATGGACCATATTGAAAAACAAAATCAGAAAACTGACTCCAGAGGAAACAGATAATTTAGAAAATGAAAAAGAACTTTTTAAAAAGTAATATTCCAAGAATGTTTAGAAAAATATGCCCATAAACCCAGAACAGGTTGCTAAGAAGAATTAGAAAATGAAGAAGAGTTTTTATGAAATTAAAGATATGATGGGTAAAATAGAAAATTCAAAAGCTGAAGTAAAAAGTCAAAGGCATCCAAAAATATTAAAATATGAGAGAAAAGTTAGGAGATATAGACAATTCAGGAGGTCCAATATGTATCTAAGATTTCCAGAAAGAGAGAACAGCAGCTAAATAAAAGGGAAGAATATAAAGATAAAGATACTTTTTCAAATCTTCAGATCATAAAGGCTCACATAATGCTAAGCAAGGTGAGTGAGAAATACTTGCACAAGGCACATTCATAGGCAAGGTTTGTATACAAAGGACAGAGGGAAGATCTCCCAAGTTTTGCTCTGGCATCCTGATTCAAGAACAATTATCTCAAAATCCACAGAGCAAAAAATACTTGAAGATACAGATTTTCTTGTTTATTCCAAGTGAAAAAGATTTCTGTACTTGTACAGACAAGTTTAAAATCACACTTTCTTCCCTTCTTCTCAACTTTTCTCTTTGGACAAATTGTCCTGGTATCTCCCCATGGGGGTTGAGGGGAGTGAGACTAGATCAGGGCTCCTAGAGCTGGGGCCCCTGGCTTTGTGGGCCTCTCAAACCCCCCAGGTATCATAGCAGAGACCCCACTTGGCATAGGCAGCTCTGTATGCACTTCTTTATCTTGCCCAGGGCCAAATGGCAGGCCCCATTTTCTGGTTTTGCTGTTTTAGATGGGGTAGGGCGTCCCACCCACCTCCTCCCTGTCAGTGGTTGTGCAGTTGGTTCTGGAGGCTTCCCTGGGACTTCTGAAGAAACCCAGTGACTAGGCTCAACCCAGCAGGGCTCAGTCCTCCTCCGTAGGCTTTCCCACCCTCCTTGTTCCTCAGCCCTGCCTTGCTTTCTGTGGGTCTCCACAGGGCCACACAGTGTCAATGGACTGGCAAAATGCACTGCATCTCCTCCCTGTTATCTGTGAATTCAGTGTCTTTCAAAGCCGTTTGACTGGGTGGGGTGGCTGGAGGGTCACTGTGCATCAATGTCAGGGGGGATGTGCCCTGCTACCACCACCCCTCCCACTCTCTGCCTTCCATTTCTGGGTGCACCTTTCCCTTAGACTCCTGATGGAGGGGACCCTTTGGTAGGAATGTGGCTCAGAATCTTCTCAGCCAAAGCTCAGAGTTAGCTGAGTTATAGCTGTGTGCCCTCAGTCTACTTGGCTCATCCCCTCTGTGGCCAGCAGGGCAGGGTGGCATATTAGTATTCATTGCCTGGCTCTGCCTCTGAGCAGCTTTGAGGACCACCCTCGCTGCAGCCCTCCGTGTCTTATGGAAGTAGGTCTAGCTGGGGTCTTATGGGTCACCCAGCAAAGTTGGAAGGTGGGAGGTTGTGTGCAAGAGAATGGCAAGTGGGAGGGTGCCCAGGTGGCAGAAAGTTCTCCCAGGTGAGATCTGGGCTTGGGGAACTGAGGGGCAGAACTGAGGCCTGCTGCCTGGGGTGAGAGTCTTCTGAGCTGTGCCAGCCTGGAGCAGTCAACTCTGCTCATTTGGGGATGGTGAGGTCACTGGGAGCTGGAGCCACCCTTTGTCTCCTCCCAGGCTATGCTCCTGTCACCGGGATGTGCCACCCCGTTCGCAGTTGCACCCTGAACCATGAGGACGGCTTCTCCTCGGCGTTTGTGGTAGCCCACGAGACCGGCCACGTGTAAGTGGCCTCACAGTCCTGGTTATCTGGGGAAGGTTGGGGTTTGAGGGACCCCACTTCTCTGAACCCTGAGAGGCACAGCCCCATATGAAAAAGATATGATGGCCTGTCCTCCCAGCACTGCATAGGGCAGACCCAATGTTCACTTTCTATTAAGGAAACATAACAAAGAAAGAGCTGAGTGGGTGCTGGGGATCTTCCCTGGATTACCCCACTTTACAGATGAATAACTGAGGCTTTGAGGGAGGCAGGCCCTGGAACATGCCCCAGGCACCACCTAAATCTCCAGGCTGGACAGATACTGATGGGAAGTGCCACAGGGCTGCCGGGCCTGTGTGGGGAGTGTGCCAAGAAGATACCCGGAGAGCTGGGCTCCACTGCGATCTCATGTCACAGCCCCCTGCCTTGGGGACAGGACACTGAGGGGCATGCTGCTGGATGCCATCTCCCCAGTGTGCCCCTGCCTTTCAGATTCTACCAATGGAAACTTGGTATCACCTGGCTTAGGGCAGACCAAAACAGCCAAGGTCCAGGAGGGCCCAGTGGAGGGAGGTTGGGGGGCCCTCCCAGCATTTGGGAGGGGTAGAGCTGACAGGTTAGTGCAGCCAGGTGAGGGTCCAATGAGGCTGCCTTGGCTCCCTGGACAGGCTAGGCATGGAACACGATGGGCAGGGCAACCGCTGTGGCGACGAGGTACGGCTGGGCAGCATCATGGCACCCCTGGTGCAGGCAGCCTTCCACCGCTTCCACTGGTCCCGCTGCAGCCAGCAAGAGCTGAGCCGCTACCTGCAGTGAGTACCACCCGTGTCCCCCAAGGACAACCTGAAACCCTGGGGTGCGTGTCCCAGTGTTCCTGGGCCCAATGCAAACCCCCAGACCTTGGGTCCTCCAATTTGAGGTACAGGGGAGGTGAGAGGGAAAGAGCAGTTCAGGTCAGTGTGGGGGATCCCACTGTTGGGGAGCACCTTTAAAGGACACTTGGGATCTGGGCAAATCAGGTCCTGGGTAGTTCACACAAAGAAACAGAGATGCAGCAGGGAAACTGAGGCAGCCCAGCTGAGAGCTGGGGTGTGCAGACAGGCCCATCATCACAGCTCCAGAAGGGGCCTCAGCAGCCCCACAGACTGGATGGCCAGTCCGGCTGAAGGCAGCTTGCAGTGCCCACGTGTCCCCTCACAGCTCCTATGACTGCCTGCGGGATGACCCCTTCGCCCACGACTGGCCGGCGCTGCCCCAGCTTCCTGGGCTGCACTACTCCATGAACGAGCAGTGCCGCTTCGACTTCGGCCTGGGCTACATGATGTGCACCGCGGTGAGTGTCGGAGCCGGCACCCTGGGGGCAACATCTCCCTCTGCACCCAGTCACACACAGTGCCCACCCTGCCCATCTAGACTTGGTCCTGGGCAGGGAGCACACAGCTGACAAGGGCTGTAACCTGGGGAGCATCAAGGGATGGTGGGGGCATGGTGTGGCCCCTGTGTGGTCTGCAGAATTCAAGAGGACTTCCCTAAGAAGAAGCAAGGTGTAAAGGTTGAATGGGAGGACAGGGCATTCCAGAAGGCAGAAATCACATGTGCAAAGGCCTAAAGGTGCAGGAACATAGCATGCTGAAGAGCAACCAATTGTTCCCCAGGGTTGAATGCCAAGACAAAGCCATTAGCATCAACACAGGTCATCAAAATTGAGTGTATCTACTGATCGAGGCCCACCAGGTTTGAGACAGTATGGCAAGAGCAGTGGTGTATATATTAGTGTCTGACTCAATGCTCATCCCACCTCCATGTAGGAAGTAAGCAAAGTATTCCACTTTACAGATGAGGAAATTGAGGCCCGGAGAAGTTAGGTAAACTGCCTAAGGCCACACAGTGAGCAGGTGGTGGATCTGGGTACTGATGAGGCTGTCTAACCTCTTGCATGTTGGCCTAAGGAAGGTGGTGGGCAATGGGGAGCTCTGTAAAAGTTTGAAGAGGGAGAGCATGGCTAGGTCTGAGTTTCAGCTGTATCCCTCAGGGATGTCCTGGAGGAAGGGCTATCAGGATAGGAAGCAGAAAGATCAGGAAAGAGATCCAGAGGACAAGGCTGGAGCAAAGACAGGAACAGAGGAGAGGGCTTCAGGAGAAATTCAAGAGGTGGAGTGTTCATAGCAGGGGAACAGGGGGTGCCCTTAGGGCCCTGTAGTGACAGCTCCTGGGCCAGAGAGATGCCCACCCAGCCCTCACGCCAGGCTCACTGGCTCCCCAGTCTGTCCAGGCTCCAAGGGGGCTGCAGCCAACAAGGGTTGAAGGCTGGGGAGGACAGTATCCCACAGAGACTTGAATTAGCAGCTGTACTCTCGAGATTATCATGGCCTCAGAATCACATGGAATTCAGGGCACCCGCTGGCCACACAAGCCTATCACAGGCAGTCAAGCTGTGCCAGTTGCATAGCTGTCCAAGAGGTCTCTGGGGAATAGGGTCCCCACAGTGGGAAGCACCCTGACCAGTGGCTGGTGTTCTCTTCCAGTTCCGGACCTTCGATCCCTGCAAGCAGCTGTGGTGCAGCCACCCTGACAATCCCTACTTTTGCAAGACCAAGAAGGGCCCCCCACTGGATGGGACCATGTGTGCACCTGGCAAGGTGAGTCAGGGCAGACGGCAGACCCCATGACACGCTCAGATATCCAGGGACAGTCCCTTCAGAGCCCTTGGGGTGGAGATGGGGGCTTTTCCTGCCTCCTTTCTAATAATCCCCACATGACTCACTCTCCAAGCTTCTGCCCTTGTGCTTCCCACACACTGTTTTTTATTTTCAGAGCAAACCTGATGTCTCAGAGCACCTGTCTGTGCTTCAACCCTCTGCCTAGAGAACTCCCTCCTCTGAGGAGCAGTTGGGGGATTCCAGCAGACTCAGTCCCCCCTGCACACTGTGCGTGACTGGGTCACTTCACCTTGAGGCCAACATTGGAGTCAGGTGGCTGCTGGTTCCCCAGGCCTAGCTTCAGGCTTAGACTCTAGAATTTGGTGTTTGCCCCTTAGAGGGCCAACTTGTCCCTTGAGGTTGCTCAGTAGTCACCCACCATCACCTGCCATCCTCCCAGGCCCACTTCTCACCTCCAGCAAATTGCCAGAAAAACAGGCTTTTCTCTCCCAGTACTTTGTCTCCTAACTCACAGCCTAATTCTCATCAGCTCCGATGAAGTCTCATACCTACCTCTCAGCCAGTCACTTGCAACGGGGCTGGCTTTTGCAGATGTGCCTAAACCTGGGTCACAGCCCCCCAGGGCTCAACCCACTGAAGCTGTGTATACCTACTCTGGGTGGGAGGGTCGTGGACTCCAATGCAGGTTCCCCCAACCCAGGCCTGAAAAGTCCCCAGATAGGCTGAGCCTGAGGTTCTTCCAGGTGGGTCTTAAATTCTGCTTAATTTTATTTTGTTTGTGGTGGAGCTTCTTAAATCTACAGATTCCCAGGTCTACCCCTCTTCAGGTTTTGGTTTGCAATAAGGATCGGGAACTGTTTTTGCTATTTTTTAAATTATGGTGAAATCTAAGTAACATAAAACGTGCTATTTTAACCACTTTAAAGTATACAATTCAGAGATGTTTAGTTACATCACTACTTTATAGTTCCAGAACTTTTTCACCACCCCAAAAGAAGACCCCATTAAGCATTGAGTCTCCATTCCCTTCCTCTCTCCAGCCCCTGGCAACCACTGATATACTCTCAGTCTCTGTGTATTTGCCTATTCTGGAATTTCTTATAACTGGAATCATATATTATGTGACCTTTTACTAGTATATCTGTCATCTTTCACTCAGCATAACGTCTCCAAGGTTCCATGTTGTGGCCTGTGTCAGTGCTTCATACCTTTTTGTGGCTGTGTAATGTCCCACTGTCTAAATGGACCACATTCTGTGGATCTGTTTGTCCATCAGTGAGCATTTAAGTTGACTCCACCTTCTGGCATTTTTGAATGTGCTGCTGTGAACATTCACAAGCATATTTTGTTTGAAGACCTAGGACAGTGATGGCGAACCTATGACACGCGTGTCAGAGGTGACACGCAAACTCATTTTTTTGGTTGATTTTTCTTTGTTAAATGGCATTTAAATATTTAAAATAAATATCAAAAATATAAATCTTTGTTTTACTATGGTTGCAAATATCAAAAAATTTCTATATGTGACACGGCACCAGAGTTAAGTTAGGGTTTTTCAAAATGCTGACACGCCGAGCTCAAAAGGTTCGCCATCACTGACCTAAGGCATGTGCAAGAATATTCCCAGCAGTACTATTCACAATAGCCCCAAACTGGAACCAACCCAGATACCATCAGCAGGAGGGCATATAAATAATGTACATGTCTTCACACAAGGTATTTTTAAGAGATGCCCAGGTGATTTGGCTGTGCCCCCAGACTTAATGAATTCTTAGAAGTTGGAGGTGGAATATCCTATATAATAAAAGCCTAATATGCTAAGTGTCCAGTAGGCCAGTGGGCCGTTCAACCAATCAAAGCATAATATGCTAATGATATGCTAAGGCAGCTCAACCGCTCGCTATGATGTGTACTGACCACCAGGGGGCAGACACTCCAACCAGTAGGTTACCTTGCTGCTGAGATCCAGCCAATTGACACTGAGAAATACAGGCTGGACATGCCCTGGAGCCCTCCCGTGGTCCCTCCCTGGCTGGCCAACTCCCCGCGTCCCTCTCCAAACCCGATCATGCACCCATCCATTTATTAATTCATTCGCTCATTCATTCCATGTATCAGGCCTGCTCCACCTCCATGGTACCCGTTGTCTGTGGGCATCGGCCATGAATGTGAAGAAGCAGTGGTGACATGATAGTGAAGACAGGGATGAGGAGTGGCCTGTCAGGGAGCTCAGGGAGACACTCAGTCAGTGACCCCCGCTGAAGCCCAAGGGTATAGAGAAGTGGGAGCAGCACTCCAGGCAGAGAGCGTGTGTTTAGTGGACTGTGCTGAGGGGAGCATGGCAAATAAGGGGAGCATGGTATTTGAAAGTTAGTATATTAATTGAAAACTTCAGATAGAGTAAAGCCAGCAGGAGATGATTGTTATTGAAAAGGGAGTTTTTTCCTCACAGATCTCAAAAGGAGTGTCCCACCCCCATCCCCTAGCGTGCCACAGGGAAGAGGGGGAAGACACCAGAAAGCAGCAGAGTGGATCAGGAAGCAGAGGGACATGGGAACTGTGGTTTCCACAGGAAGAAACAGTGGACACTGAATTTGGGTAAGCAGGCTTAGGGATTGGCTAGTGTGAACATGTCAATGGGCATTGGGGCATAGAAGCTGCCTGTAGCCCTCTGGCACTTGTCTTTGGGTGATAAGGACAAGTGGTCCAGAGTGTGAGAGCCTGCAGAGGAGGTGGTTGGGTTGGGAGCTCTGGATTAGGTGGTTTGCATATGAAGGCATGTTCTCAGGTTAGTAGTTCACTATCTCTAGGAACTAGCCAACCCCGGGAGGGGCAGCCCCTCCAGAATCAGCAAGGCCCCAGATGTCACAGTATCAGAATCCTATCTAATAATAGACAAACATGGTAATTGACCGTACCTTTGCTACGCCTCCCATTGGCTAATCAGCGTGATATGCAAATTAACCGCCAACAAAGATGGTGGCTAATTTGCATACTGCAGGCAGGGCGGGCCAGTGCGAGACGCCATCCGGGCCCCCGTGTGCCGCCTAAGCCCCGCCCCCAGCCGGGACCCCCGTGAGCGGCCCTGGACAGCAGGGCTTGGCGGTGTGATCGGCCCAAGGAAGCCCTGTTCTTGCAGGAATCCTCCTGCAATGGGCTTCTAGTCCAGAAAATAAAAGGCATGATTAACACATGTGGCTCCCAGGAAGGTTGGGTGATTGTGGGAGAGAGGGAAGGACTAACTGACCTAAGTGTTTCCTGTGCCTGCTTGGTGTGCTGCCCTGTCCAGTGTACTGGAGACCTGGCTCAGATCTGCTCTCTGATGGGCTTGGCTTTCAGCCATGAAGCCTATATGCATGTACCGTGGAGGCAAGGCCAGGCCAAAGTACAAAGGGTCCTCCCAGGTGGATATGCCCTGCAGGCCAGGCTGGTGGCTTCATCTTGCCCTCCCTGCCAGAGCCAGGGTCAAGGCAACAGGAGGAAGGCAGGCCCAGCCAGGTGCTTCTGCCTCAGTGTGTCTCGGCAGGAAAGGGTCCTTCCTCTATGTGCTCTTGTGTCCACATAAAGCACCCTGGGGAAGCATCAGCCACCCTAATTTTCACGAACTTCTGAGGACTGTTTCAGAGATACATGCCTGATGCAAAGTCCTCATGATGCTCCTGTGTTGTGCTTATGTTTCCTGTATACCTGAGAATTGGCAGACAGGCATAGTGCCAGGGATACCCAGAGTTCAAGCCCTGGGTCCCTCCTTCCTCGCCGTGTGACCTGGTGCCATTCTTTCCTAGGGCGAGTCAGCTAAGTGCCCAACTTGCTTATCCTCACATCCCAAGCTCCTGGCACATGGTATCCACTGGGGACATGCTGATGGATGGAGAATGGAGACCCAGGGCCTCAACAGTTCAGAAATGCTAAATATTCCCTTCCTGAAACAGAAAGCCTGCCATTCAGGCTTCCAGACCCACCAGGCAGTGTTCCTGGCCTGCTAGGTATGTCAGCGCTGTCCGGAGTACCTAGAACCGTGGTCAGCAAACCACAGCTCACGAGCCACATGCGGCTCTTTGGCCCCTTCAGTGTGGCTCTTCCACAAAATACCATGTGGGGGCGCGCACGTACAGTGCGATTGAAACTTCGTGACCCATGCGCAGAAGTCGGTATTTTGTGGAAGAGTCACACTGAAGGGGTCAAAGAGCCGCCTGTGGCTCCGAGCCACGGTTTGCTGAGCCGCAGTTTGCTGACCACTGACCTAGCCCATGACACAGCCCAGTCAGGTTGTCCCGGGGTTCTGTGATAAGCTCCAAATTCACTCAGGACACATAAAATTGTGCTTTTAAATATTTAACTATCTCTACTGGATGAAATATTTGTAAGCATTTAAACATGTTATATAGCCTTTTAATAACATTGAACTGTTTCTCCCATAATAGCACCGAGGTATCAAAGTAGAAGCATGTTCATTCAGGGTAACTTCTCTCTGTTTAGTACTCATAGTCGTCCAGGAGGAAATAAACCAAAAGTGTAGAGGAGCAGGTTCTGTGTGGTGGAGTCATGGTGTTTTCCTTTCTTTCTCAACTTTTGCTGAGTTGTCATTTTCTGCTTGATGCACCTGCATTGCCTCTGGTCATTTGGACCCAGGTCTACAGGGAGCTGGTCCATTGAACTATGGGACTGGGTGGTATCCTGAGTTTTGTGGGGCCCAGTTCCCCATTTACATACTGGCACCAATTTGTCCAGTGGGAACAAGGGGACCACTGTGTAGCCTCTTCCATTGTCTTGGCCTTTGATTCCCATGGCCCCCAGTAACTTAGAGGCCCAACCACAGTCATAGCCTTCAGAGGTACCAGGAGTACTCCCTCACTTCGTCTGCGTTGGCTTGGGCTATTCTAACAAAAATGCTGGGGTTTAAAACAACACATATCTCCTCACAGTTCTGGAGGCTTGAAGCCTGACATCAGGGTGCCCACATTGTCAGGTTCTGGTGA